GGCCGGGCAAGTGACCCCGGGCCACTCTGGTAGCCTAGGAACTTATGTTGCTATTATTATTTCTTTTTTCCTTTTTCTTTTTTTTTTTTGCTATTATTAGATTATTATTACTACTCCCCTTTGGCCATTTAACTCAGACGCTCCTGGCCGCAAGTTCGGGGTTTTCTTTTTTTTTTTCTTTTTTTTGCTATTATTAGATTATTACTACTCTCCTTTGGCCATTTAACTCAGATGCTCCTGGCCGCAAGTTCGGGGTTTTCTTTTTTTTTTTTGCTATTATTAGATTACTACTCTCCTTTGGCCATTTAACTCAGACGCTACTGGCCGCAAGTTCGGCGTTTTTCAAACCGAAATCGTCAAGGTTTACCGGGTTCCCGCCACTACCGTCTTCACCCGAATACAACGCCCGGCCTGTATAACCGTATCCGGCCAACTTTCCGTCTAGATACGGCGATAATGACAAGGCGTTCTATTCGTGTTCCCGCCACTACCGGTAGGACCTAGTGGCGATTTCGGTTGACGACACGCCCGAAATTGCCAACAGGAACGTCTAAGTAAAATGCCCAAAGCACTATTACACAAAATTCATTCTTAGGGGGAAAAAAATATATACACAAAATTCATTTAAAAAAAAAAAAAAAAATACACAAAGTTCATTCTTAGCAAAAAAAAAAAAAAAAAAGAGAGTTCATTCTTAAGAGTTTTTTACTAATTCCAACCAATGCATCCGCTTCCCCCGACCGACTCTCCGTGCATACCGCGCCATCAAGGGATCGATTTCGCTGGGAATTATTTTGCAATATCAGTATATTTGCGTGTGAAGAGCAATCGGTCATTGCTTGTCTTCTTTCTTCTTTCCCCACGTACAAAGAAAGGATCAGATTGGCCATTGCTTGTCTTCTTTCTTCTTTCTCCACGTACAAAGAAAGGATCAGATTCTACCAATCGATTATCGTTATCGGAATCCCGACCGCCATCGATTACAACCAATCATCCCATCCCATCATTCGTAATCATCCCATCCCATCATTCGCAGGAAGGCTACCAAACCACTCAGGGACATTCACTGCTGTTTGACTATCAAATCCTCGCCGCCATCTCCTACTTGTCTCGCTTTAAGCGCAGGGGAACCAATCCCATCATTCGCAGAGCACCACCCTCCGGGATGTCTACTAGTACCACGTGGTTAAACTTTGTCAATTGATTGTTTTTCCAAAGCTCTCCAGGTTCAAACGCTTTTGCATTGCATGGACGTCAACGTCAATGGATTGATTGGTTGATGGTCGATTGAATGTTGCGGATTATTGAATTTAAAATCATTTGGCAATCATTTTTTGTATTACTATATATATAATGAAATTTAAAAGACGTCGTCCTTTATCTGATCACTTTGCGATTGATTGAATTCCCTTCATTCGGCGGCAATTCGACGTTTCAGTGATCATGTGTTGTTGCTTACATGCTCTGGATTTCACTAAAGCGAGATCATCGCGAATTGATCGGCGATTCCAGAGAGCATGTCATCAATAACACATCACATGCTCGGGGTTTAGACAGACGGCTGAATGGAAACCCACGACCTGCTCCTGTACAGCAGCGAGTGATTGAATAATCCATTAAAAAAAAAAAAGAGGAGATTAGCGCCTGTCTCTTATACACATCTAGATGTGTATAAGAGACAGATCAATTACCATCTCGTTTTAACCATCTCGTTTTCTAGTTTGTGGAGCTTGGTCGAATCGTCGTCAACCGACCATTTCGCAAGCGATCGATCACGCATCGATCCACTGGATCTCCGTTCTGTCACGGATCATTCATCGTTCTGTCATGGATCTGTCTCTTATACACATCTAGATGTGTATAAGAGACAGGTCATGGATCATTCATCGATCATTGGTGGATGGATGGATGGATCATTCATCGATCATTCATCGATCATTCATCGTTCTGTCATGGATCATTCATCGATCATTCATCGTTCTGTCATGGATTATTCATCGACGTTCTTTCATGGAGTATTCATAGATCATTCATCGATCATTCATCGTTCTGTCATCGATCATTTATCGTTCTGTCATGGATCATTCATCGATCATTCATCGTTCTGTCATGGATCATTCATCGATCATTCATCGTTCTGTCATGGATCATTCATCGTTCTGGCATGGATCATTCATCGTTCTGTCATGGATCATTCATCGTTCTGTCATCATCCCTCCATCGATCGCTCAGGTATCGGAGATCGACGATAAGAGATCCAAACAGAGATCCATTCAAGTTAGGAGATGATTCAGAGGGTGATCGCTGATCGAACGGAGTCGATCGTTGGATCGGGGCCTATCCTGCTGTCCCCACCTGGTCGGGCGGTCAGAGAGCCAATCAACGACTCAAAAGTGTGATGGACGATTCTGGACATCCAACGGACTGACGTTCAACGCCTTACAAGATCGATCGATGGTTCAATCAATCAGTAACTCAATCAATCAATCAGTAATTCGACAGATTGATGATTCGATCCACTCAGTGATTGATCAATTGATGCAATTCCAAATCATCGCTTGGTGATTAGATATATTAGTCATTGAGGGAAACTCAGGACATCCAACGAGCTGATGGTCAACGCCTTGTTAACCAGCTATAATTAATTATACAATCTATCTATCAAATGAATGGTCGATCGATCAGTAATTCGATGGATTGATCGATGGTTCGCATCTACCGATGATGATTCGACGGCTTGATGATTCATCGATCGATGATTAGATACAAGCCATTCAAGTCACTCAGGACATTCAACGATCAGATGTTCAACGCCTTGAGTTAATTAATCAGCTGTTGTTATACGATTCATCTATCGATGGTCCGATCAATCTAATCGATCGATCAATGATTTCGATCGGCGCAGCCATTCATCCCACGCAGGAAATCCAACGATCCATGATGTTCATTCCGCGCCTGCGTATTAATCAGTTGTTATACGATTCATCGATTATGTTCAGCACCTCATTAATCAGAGATACAATTTATCGATGGTTCGATCGATCGATCAATCAATCAATAATTCGATTGATTGATTGATCAAGTATCGATCGTAGCCATCCATCTACGGATACACAAAACCGACGAAGCATTCTTCGCCACATTGCCCTGGTCCTGAGCGGCAGGGCTGTATTCACCCAATCAGAACGCCCGGTTATTATACCAGTATCTGGACCGAAAGTTCGGCCAAATACAGCATTCATCACCGAGCGTTCTATTCGGGTGAAGATGGTCAAGCCATAGCATATCCTCTCGATCGACCGACACCAACACCCATCGGCCACATGTCAACGCATCCCCATTCGAATCCTTTAACCACCACCGATTGATCACGGATTGATCACTGATTAATCACTGATTGATCACTCATTGATCACTGATTGATCAGTCACGAATCCTTTAACCACCACCAATTGATCATTGATTGATCATTGATTGATCAGTCAGTGATCATCGATCGGTCCACGCGTCCCGTGCCAGTGGCTTGGATCCTTAACCAGGCCAAAACCGACGGAGAGGGACGGCCATAATCGCCGTTACTACTGCTACGGTCGGATGCAAAGAGAAGAGGAGACGGGGAGGTCCCTTTTCTCCTTCCCCCCCGCTCCCTCCCACGCTCCCCCCTTTTCTTTCTCAGGAAACAAGAAAAAGAGGGAGCGTGGAGAAAGAGACGGTGGGAGGGAGGGAGGGGGAGCACAGCCGAGGCAACGACAGACTGGAACGCTGAAAGATACAGATAGCGGGGAAATGGACTACCTTCTTTCCTCTTTCCTTCAATACAACGTACGGTCATTACAGCTGCATATAGACTGGAAGATACCCCAAATACAGCTATAATGAGTCATGCATGACCGTACGTTGTATTCGGGGGAAGAAGGAAGAAAGGGACAAAAGGACGCGAAAGGAGAAGGAGATCAGGGGCGAGATACGCCACCGCGCGAGGAGGAGGAGAAGGAGGAGCAGAGGAGAGAAGGACGACGATGTGCACCATGAAAACGGAATCCAGCCCGTACCTTCTGCGCGAGGAGGCGAAAGACTGCAGCCCGTACCTTCTGCGCGAAGCAGCAGCAGCAGCAAGAGGAGGAGGACGAGGAGGAGAAGGAGCAGAGGAGAGAAGGACGACGATGTGCATCATGAAGACGGCATCGGAGGAGGACGAGGATGAGAAGGAGCAGAGGAGAGAAGGACGACGATGTGCATCATGAAGACGGCATCCAGCCTCTAATTGGCTCCACAGCCGTGAGGAGGAGGAAGAGAAGGAGCAGATGAGGAGGAGGAGGAGGAGGAGGAGGAGCAGAGGCGGAAGAGGAGGAGGAGGAGCAGATGCGGAGGAGGAGGAGGAGCAGATGCGGAGGAGGCGGAGGACCATGACAATGTCATCCAGCCAGCACTTGGCTCTACTGCAGTAAAACGGTCGACTTTCTGCGACAGGGCCAATTGAATATGGTTTCCATAATGGCAACCTGGTCGACACACAGCTTCCTTCCTGTGCAGGAGTTACATATACCCATGATATCGAAGCGCAATCAAACTCTAGAAGAGCACTGGCCTCTCTCTCTCTCTCTCTCTCTCTCTCTCACACACACACACA